AATGTAATACATACTTATTATTTATTTCACTATACATTTTTCAGATAGATATTTAATGTACTTTTTCTATTTCTTTTATTATATATTTATTTTTCTATATTGTATATTTACTAATTCTAATATTACACTATATGTTTAATGTATAATTATATTTATTATATTGTATATTTATTTATTGCTTATATATATATTATCTATGATTTATTCTAATTTTCTTGTTTTTATATCATATGATAATAATAAGGCATATTTTTAATGATAACATTTATATTTCTTACATTGTATATTTACTTATTATTTATTTATTTTTCCATCAAATGATAATATTAGGATATATTTTAATGTAATATTTTCTATTTCTAATAATATATATCTACTTAATTTTTATATTGTATATTTATTTATTATCTATTTTTTAATACCATGTGGCTTCTTTAAAGAGATTTTTATGTTTATGTGGATGGTCTATTGGAAACACTTAGTTTCTAATATATTTTTTTTTTTAATTCCATTCTTTATTTATTTATAAACAACCATTACAAAATTTGGCCAGACCCAAAACGGGCCCAAACCTTACCAACCCTCCCTACCAACAATCAAAAAACGCAGAAACACTCTGCAACTACTCTCTACCCTGCAAAATAACTTAGCCAAACCGCTAAAACAGAGAAGTGACCAGGCAGCACAACCTGTCTTCTTGCAAGCGGATCCAACCTGAGTCTGATTATCTGTTGAATCTCTGCAATAATAGTACTTGGAGGCTTTTCCACACCAGTGTGAACTCTCTTGTTTCTTTCCTTCCAGAGTAAGTATACAACCGCTTGGTGAACAAGTCTAATGATCAGAGTCAGATTACTATCTCTTGAAGGAGCAACCAGCCATCTCAACACATCCTCAAAACCTGTCGGAGGAGACATCTGTAACCGAGTCACAAAGAAGCTCCAAACCTGAGTGCTATATGTACAATCAAAGAAAAGATGTTGTCTATTCTCGACGTTTCCCGCGCACAGAACACAACTCGAAGGAACCGACAAACCCCAACCAATCAGTCTATCTCTAGTCACCATCCGGTTCCTCGCTGCAACCCACGCAACGAAGGCATGCTTCGGAATTCTCCCTGCAAACCACACAGCCTTATGCCAAGGAACTGCCAAAGGATAGGAATGCAGAACCCTCCACGTCTCTGAAAGAGAGAAATTCCCATCACCTCTTCCCACCTCAGGAAACCACAGGTATCTATCATCCTCCTCCGAATTAATAATCTCCCGAGCATCAGGCAAGCACGCTCTCACCAATGTGATTACTGGACTCCTGCTTCTACTACGGTCCAGCCACCAACCATCACTAGTTAATGCATCTGCCACAACCGCATCAATATTCAGGCCAGTAATAAGGGGACCTCTGTCGCCAACTAACTCTATAAGAGGACCGGCTGAAGTCCAACTATCATGCCAGAAGCTGGCAGTAATACCAGAACCAACCTCACATTTAACCATTGGCCTAGCCAGAGTTCTCAACTTACAAATAGCTCGCCAAATCCAGCTTCCTCTGTTTGCTGGATTCAAAATCCAGAAATTTTCAGAACCGATCAAGTTCCTACACACCCATGAGACCCATAACGAGCCTCCAGCAGTAAAAATGAGCCAGATCAACTTCAAACCCAAAACTTGATTCCAATCTGCTAACCGTCTCAGACCGAAACCACCAGCTTCTTTCGGAGTACACACTGAGTCCCAGGCTATCTTGGCTCCTCTAGCTTAGTTCGGTGCACCATTCTAGAGAAAGGCACCACACATCCTCTCCAAAATGCTCACACAATCTGATGGAATGATAAAAATAGAGGCCCAAAAGGAGATAGTCGAGTAAATTACCGCTTGGATTAATTGGAACCTCCCGGCAAAGGAAAGATGTTTAACCGTCCAGGAACTGAACCGTGCCGCAATTTTATCCAGAAGCGGCTGAAAATCAGAACGCATCATCTTCTTTGGAGACAAAGGGACTCCAAGATAACGTAAAGGAAGAGCTCCTTGAGCAATCCCCATTTCAATGGCTAATAACCGACATCTGCTAGCACTGCCCCCATCAAGAAGCAACTCTGATTTCTGTTTATTGATCTTTAGGCCAGAAATCATTCGAAACTCCTCCAGAATGTGTAAAATACCTCTCAGCGAATCTGCTTTACCATCGAAGAATATAAGCACATCATCTGCAAAGCTTAAATGAGTGATTAACGGCGCGTCACACTCCGGATGAATCCCAAAGGTACCATCCATTGCCCCTTTATCTAATAATTTTGATAACACATCCATCGCGATGACAAAGAGCAGAGACGAAATAGGATCACCTTGTCTCAGACCTTTCTTCCCTTTAAAGAAACCCTGCAACTCCCCATTCAGAGCAATACTAAACAACGGAGTAGTCACACATTCCTTTAACCAATCTATAAACCTACCAGGCATCTCAATCGCAGTCAGGACTTTGAACAGGAAATCCCAATTGAGATTGTCATATGCCTTGGAGATATCAATCTTGAGACAATCCCTCGTCGTCTCACCAATCGCATTGAAGTCCTTGACCAATTCAGTTGCCAAGAGAACATTCTCGCACAGCAGCCTGTCTTGTACAAATCCAACTTGATTCCTCTGAACAATATCTGAGACACACAACTTCAGTTTCTTCTTGAGAAGTCTTGCCATAACTTTGTAAACAGTGGAGCAAAGCGAAATGGGACGAAACTGCGTGAGGCTGTCAGCTCCAACTACCTTCGGGATAAGGGAGATAGTAGTGGTATTGAACTGACGCAACAAACGACCCCCTGTGAAAAATTCCTTGATTGCTGCAACTGTGTCTTGACCCACAATCTCCCAGGCTTCCAAAAAGAATTCAATAGAATACCCATCTGGACCAGGCGCCTTGTTCTTCGGCATAGCAAGCATGCTCGCTTTAATCTCTGCTTCTGTTGGGATCAAGTTCAACTTAGCAGCAATCTCAGACGGACAACGATATGCAATTAACTCCTTTAACTCATCCACCGAGACAGGCTGAACCACCCCATCCTCAGAGCCCAAAAGGTTATGAAAATAAGCCACCACCATCTCCTTAATTTGGCTTTGGTTGAACACTCTATTGCCTCCCGAGTCCAACAAACAACTAATACAATTTCTCATCTGATGCGCAACAACAGCCTTGTAGAAAAATCTTGTATTCGCATCCCCACAATCCAGCCAACGAACTCTAGCTTTCCTACTGTAAAAAATCTCCTGCGCTTCCTCAAAAAACTTCCACTTAGCCCGAGCAACAAATTCCTGACGGAAAAGAGAATCCGTAGGTTCAGATAGCAGCTGCATCTGAATATCTTTTAAAGCAATAAGCGCATCCTTAGCTCTCTGTTGGATGTTTCCAAATCCCTCCTTATTAAGCTTTCGACAGACCACTTTGGCCTTCTTTAGACGCTGTCCTAAGGAGAACATTTTAGAACCAACCGGAATGATCTCCTCCCAAGACTTAAGCAACTCCACCGAGAACCTGGGATGAGAAGATAAAAAGGAGAAGTACTTAAAACTGCATTTCCTAAACTGAGCCGCCTCCGAGAAATTCACCACCACTGGAGAGTGATCGGAATCCCCAGGCGCTTCAAAAACACTATCTGCTTCCGGATATCTCTCCCTCCACTTCTCACTACACAAGACCCTATCCAGCTTCCTCAAGATGGGATCCTCTGGACGTTTGTTAGACCAAGAGAAGAACGAACCCCTGAAATCCATGTCTGACAAGTGACTCTCCTCCAAGCAAGACTTGAAATCCTCCATACCCCTGACTGGAAGATCATAGGGGACAAGAGAAAAGTGTTCCGCCGCCGTTAATATCTGATTAAAATCTCCCATAACAACCAAAGGAGTATCCATAACCAAGGGATTAGTTGAGATATCCCTCAGATCACTCCACAGAGCCCGCCTCTCCCCTTCTAAATTGCGAGCATAAACAAAGGCCACAGTACACTCAATTCCAGAAACCGGATCTCTAACCCCACACAGGATCAGCTGATCAGTCTTCAAGTAAACCACCACTGACACAGAAGGATGCCACAGGAGCCAAATCCTACCACCTGCCGCTTCCGAATAATTATTATCAAACCTCCAACCTGGCGCAACCGCACCTAACACACCTTGAAAGTTCTCCTCCTGAACATGAGTTTCCAACAACGCTCCAACCGCCGTACCCAAACCCGTTAACCAACTACGAACGACCCTCTGACGACCCAAACCACCGATACCTCTAATATTCCAACTAAAAATATTCATATTTACAAATTTTTTAAAATTTTGTGACGATCAGATTCCAAACTTCCTCCTCGAGGCCTCACCTCGATTAAGAAGCTTAGAGGATTTCGGAGGAGAACCAACTGCCCCATTTGCTTTCCAAAGTTCCTGTTGCCTCAAAGCTCTCCTGAAGTTTCTCGAATGCTTTTTAAACCAAACAGATTCCTCACCCTCCACCTCTGTTGGACCCTGCGGACAGCACTTCCCGTCCTGACCACTCAAAACCGTGTTACTCTCAACAATCTCACCTTCGTCAATCTTAGTTTCTAATATGAAAAAGCACATAATTAATTATAAAATGATAAATCCTTATAAATTCAAAATTTTCATAAAAAACTAATGCAATGTTTACAATGGAAAGATAATTCTTTCACAGTCTTTTGGCTTCCTATTATTGATATATTAATTTATACTAACTCTATTTTGACTATAATTTAGGAGTATGATCTTAGTGAACTTTGAGTGATGAATCTGATTTTCATTAAGAACAAACCCCTTTATCGATAGACATATATGCTTCGTATAGCATCTCAAAAGAGAAGATAATCATACATATGCCGACTCATGATAGACTAAGTGATTATTAGACTGAAACATTGTATTTTGAAATGCATACTATTTCATACATATGGTGCGACACATGAGTATGAAATATTGTGATGTTCCAAAAATAAAAAGAGTATGAAACGTTGTATTTTTCAGACGCATGCTACAACCTTCTCTTATCCAAAGATATTGTTCGAAGAGCTAGGTTACGTGAATCTTACTACGGCTCTTTTGATAAATGGGACGACGATGATGATAACTTATATCAGCCCGATGTCATGCGTTAACAGTTCCGATATTTTGAAGTGTGTCATGCTTATATACTAATCACTCATCATAGCCACGAACTCTAACAAATGATATATAATATAGTTATGTTTTATTTGCTCGCCGTTAAGGTTAGCGAGGAACACTTTGAACCAATACCCACGTTTCTGGCTCGATGGTAAGGATGCGATAAGTTGGGGACTCTGCTCAAGAGAGAGTGTTAAAGGAGGAGAGATCAGACGCTCGACACTAACGGTCTGAATGGTCAGACCAACGAAGCTTCTTGCTCGTCCGGAGGGTTCAAAGCGATGAGACAGCTCAGAGCGGTTGGGGTTTTCTTGATGGGTGTAAGGTTTTTATAGGTATTTGTTTGATGTAAAACTATACATTTTTCTTCTTTTGTTTAATGTAGTATTTACATTTCTATATTGTATATTACTTTTTAATGTAGTATTTCCCTTTCAAATTGTGCACTTACATATTTTTAATGCAGTATTTCCATCTATTATTGTGGGAACCGAAATTCACACCGTCGATTTCCGTAAAATAAGGAAACTTAGGAAAACCCTAATTTTCCAGAGGATCCGGATCTCTGCGAGAGCCAACGACAAGTAACCAAATAAATGCGGAAAATATGAAAAACATGATAAAACGATATTATAAAGGAAAGTTGTTCTTATTTCGAATTCACGTAAGAGCGGTGCGATCTTTACAAGAGATTACAAAGGCCTTGGCCGCAGGGACCATCAGCGAGTTTCCTAGTTCTAGAAACATAACACCCTAAACCTAGTTGAGTGTGGGAACCGAAATCCACACTGTCGATTTTCCGTCAAATATGGAAACTTAGGGAAAAACCCTAATTTTCCCGAGGTCCTGGATCTCTGCGGAAATCACTAAAACAAACGAGTTTAAAGGAATATGGATGAACAACAAAGAATAAAGAGATAAGAAATCGTAAGAAAGCTTTTATTGAATAAGAATCGACAACTGTTAC